GGTGGCGCCCCATCGCCCCAATCGGCCCTGCTCTGAGCCCGACCAGGGGCTGCACCTAGGGATCGGGCCTGCCCTCTGCCACCCGGGAGCAGGCCTAAGCCAGTAGGGGATTATCTCCCGAGGGGTCCCAGACTGCGAGAGGGCACAGGCCAGGCTGAGGGACCCCCACTTCCCCCTGAGTGTGCAAATTTTTGTGCACCGGGCCTCTAGTTCTATAATAAAAGCATAATATGCAAATCAACCGAACTGCACTGAATGACCACGCTATGACACCCCCTGGCGCCAGGCCATCCAAGGCAGGTGCGATGCGATTGGTCAGGGACCCCGCCATTGCCCCATGATCAACCCGCAGAGGAAGGCCCAGGTCATCAGCCAGTGGGGGGATCAATCAGGGGGCTCCACGATTGCCCCAAAGAAGGAGGCCCAGGCTACCCTGCAGCAGCAGGCTCTGCAGGGGGATGGATTGCGGGGCTCCGGGACTGCAAGAGGGCGCATTCCGAGGGACAACCCCCCTCCCCCCCCCCCCCCGCCCCAGTGCATGAATTTCGGGCACAGGGTCTTTAGTCTTTTAATAGGCAGCCATTATTGTAAGTGAAAAAATGTGTATTCTACTACTGTAGCTCCTTACTAAATTTTGGAATCCCAGAGAATTAAGAGAGTAATATACTCAGCAAACTACAAATGCTAAATCTTTTTCCAGGGATCACCTTGCTAACATAATTGTCTATTTCTCAAAGAGAAAAGGCAGTTCAAATTTTTTAAAAGTGTCAAATCAAATGTATATATCACAAATACAGACTTAAACTTTAATGGCTAACTAGTTTTAAAACGACCTCTTCAATGGACGTTCAACCATTTCACTGTTAAAGAGAGCAATATTCAATATACAATCCATACTTTGAATTTGACTCGTTACATACTATATCCTATCACAACTTAAAATTTACCAAGACACACACTAAAGTTTTGTTTGAAGCAAAGTATTTATTTTGTTTTACAATTATTTGGCTGAACCAATCAAAGGAAACTAGTTTCTCTTAGCTAAGTTGGGCAATGGAACTTGAGAAAAGAAAGCAACATAAATGAATATGATTCCTAATTCATGCAACCCATAGAAAACCCCCAGCCATCAGACATCAGACATTCCTAACAGCACAGAAAGGACATAAATTATATCACAATTATTTGTGATTAACCATGTTTTTTTCGCCTTGTATTTCAAATACTACAACAAAACTGGTGTGGAAAATGAGCAACTAACTTTTCCTAGGGTTATCAGGAGGGATCATACTCCCAGTTGTAACCACTATCCAAGGACACAGCTCGACTGCTGGATGGGAATGTGTAGAAACTCAGTAATTGCTCCAAAGGTAAACACAACCTTGTTTTTTCTTTTCTTTTAAGTTTTGTTTTCTTTTTGCTGTCATATTACAAAGAACTCAACCTACTCCCCTAAAAGGTACATTTGTTTTAAAAAGGTCAAGAGAGAGCCAATAACTCCATTAGAGAGGTGAGAATCTCTTTTCCCCCCTTTACTTGCCCTGGCCAAACATTTCACCTCTTTCCTGCAGCAAAATACCAGAAGAATAGGGAAGGTCACAGGAGCAGGATGAAAACATCCTGGCCATAATAACCCTCCCAGCCCCCAAATCCTAGGAAGCCTTAATATTTTCCTATCCTTAATCCCACCCAGAGCAAGACTCATGATTAACCCCACCCCTGAACACAGTCCCCATTTCAGTCCCTATCTTCCCCAGCTTGTCCTCAAATCAGCTTTTCTAAGGATTTGTTAAGTAAATGAGCTAAGGAATAAAACAAAGACAGACTTTGGGGCCGAAGGTAGGTCAGCCTTGCAGGGTACTAAAGGGGAGAGCAGATGCGGTAAAGAAAACACTTGAAAAGAACTAAGGAAGGTCCAAGGACTCGTGAACGGACTGTGCCGTGGAAGTCCAGACCGGCGGATAAAATCAGAAAGGCACGGAGAACGGAAGAAAACTAGGAAAGACATTTTGGGAGCACAGCAGATGCGCTCCCTCTGGTGTTGAAGGATCCGCAGTCAAATCCGAGAAGCGCCGCGTCTAGATGACAAGGGCTGACTCTGCACCCGCCCCGGACGCCCTCCGCAGTCCCGCACAGCGTCCAAGGTTCCCCAGCTTTGTCCCCTTCCCACGCCCGCAGCCTGGCCCAAGCGGGTAGGGTGCAAACTGGGTAACGAGGGCCAGCGGGGCCACCTCCCCTGACTCCCGCTTCCCGCACTACCCCTCCCGCACGCCGTCCGGCCCGGACTCCGCGCCTACCTGTAGCACCAGCGGCTCGGGGTTGAAGGCCAGGGTCAGCAGCAACTGCATGCGCTCCGAGTCCTTGAGATTGCGGAGCAGGAAGCTGCCCGAGTCCTTGGTCTCGGCGTAGCGGCGCACTAGGCGGTCGAGCAGGCGCTGTGAGGGGCAGTGCACCAGGTCGGACCAACCCTCCACAGCCTCGGGCGTGAGCAGCCTCACGTCGCCATTCAGGCGCGCGAACTCCGTGCGCGGC